GCGGGCTCCGCCGCGCGGCTCTTGTTGGTGTTGTTGTTGCGGTTCTCCTGCGGGTCCACCACCAGCGGCCGGTCCAGGTGCGTCTTCATGTCGGGCCGCAGGTGGCGCGCGTAGGCGGCCTTCCAGCGCTCGTCGGGGTCCAGCTCGCCGTAGAGCGCCTCGCGGCTGGCCAGCAGGTTCTGCTTCCGCATCTCGCTGGTCCGCTGCTCCCACACGGACTTGGCCGGCTTCTGGAGCCTCTGCTGCTCCTTCCTGCAAGCGGGGCGCGGGTCAGGGCCCTTCCCGCCCCGGCTCACGGACGCTGCAGGGCTCCCACTGACTCGGAGCAAAGCCCCAAGTCCTCCCCACAATACGAGCTCGAGGCCCCTCTGTCCCCTGCTCAAGACCCCTCCAGGGCTCCCACGTCCTCCCCATGGCCCACAAGGCTCTGTGCAAAACCCCACGTCCTCCCCAAGGCCCACAAGGCTCCGCTTCATCTGTCGCCTCCTCCTTGCTTTCATCTCCTCCCTATTCACTTGTCTCTTCCGGCCTCACATGAGACACGTCCTGCCGCAGGGCCTTTGCATATGCCCATGCAGATGCATAGGCACCAACCAGTCAGAAGCAAGGCCCCCGGGGGGACCAGGCTGAGGACTGGTTCACGCTGCCTGGGATACTCTTCCCCCAGGCCCCCCATGGCTCCTCCCTTACCTCGTTTGGGTGGTGTCACCAAGGTGACACCTTCCCTGGAAACAGTATTTGAAATTACAACTTTCTCCACTTCCAGCATTCTCTACACCCCTTCCTTGTTTTATTTTTCTCTGTAGTTCTATCAACTACTAACACAATCTAGAATTTACTTGTTTACCTCGATATTTATTGTTCTCCCTGACTAAAATAGCTAAATAAAAGTGGGACATCCTTCCCTTCCAACCAAGTTAATGTAGTGAGAACAGTGCTGGGAGTATATTAGGTGCTAACTACAGGCTGGAGTGCAGTGGCACAATCACAACTCACTGTAGCCTTTATCACCTGGGCTCAGGTGATCCTTCTGCCTCAGCCTCCTGAGAAGCTGGGACTACAGATGTGTGCCACCATGCTGGGCTAATTTAAAACATTTTTTGGGTAGAGACAGGGTCTTGCTTTTTTTGACCAGCCTAGTCTCAGACTCTTGGCTTCAGCCTCCCGACGTGTTGGGATTACAAGTGTGAGCCACCACACCTGGCCTCTAACTAAATATTTATTGAGTGAACATGGGTGGGAGGGCAGAGTTATCACTTCCTAAAGCTCATCCCTATCAGGGACCATCCACTTGACCATATCTGTGACTGGGACAGTCTGGAGGCTGAAAGTTGAGGTGGCATCCCAGGGACTGAGGGAACTTACACAGTTATGGACATGTTGGCTGCAGACAGAGGACTCACTTCTGCCACCTCCTTGGCTTTCTGGAGGGCAAGTTTCTGGTTGGCTGCTTCCTCCTCTTCTTGTTCATCCTAAAAGGCATATAAGACCACTGTTCATGAAACATGAACGTGGCCTTGGGGCCTCACTTCTGACCCTATTGCTAAACAGGGACAACACTGGAAATAATATAAATAACAGCAACAACAAACAAGTTTGGCCTGTGCGTCAGAGCATCAACCAAGGCCCCTGGATGGACCAGGCTGACCGATGGTGAAGTGTACTGCCACCCCCTCCATGTTCAGGGTTGGCCTGAGAGCCAACCAATCAGAATGGGCCGACACTGTGGGCAGTGTATGGCTACTCCCTCTAGGTACAGGATTGACCGGAGTGCTGACCAATCAGAACGGGTCAACATTGGTGAAGTGTACCGCTACTCCCATTATGTACAGGATTGGCCCGAGTATTGACCAATCAGATCGGGCTGACACTGGTGAAGTGTGCTGCTACCCCCTCCATGTATAGGATTGGCCTGAGTGGCGACCAATCAGAATGGGCCAACATTAGTGAAGGGTACTACTACCCCTTCTGTGTACAGGATTGGCCTGAGGGTTGACCCATCAGAATGGGCCGACTTTAGTGAAACTACAGCTACTCCCTCCATGTACAGGATTGGACTGAGCACCCACCAATCAGAACCCAGTCCTCCCAACTGGCTGGAGCCAACGTTGATGAAGTGTACTGCTACCCCCTCCATGTGCAGGTTTAATGTCCAGCTCACGTTAGCCCTATTTTATTTTATTTTTTTGAGTTGGAGTCTCACTCTGTCACCCAGACCAGAGTGCAGTGGCTGCTCCCAGCCACTGCAGCCTCAACCTGCTGGGCTCTGGCGATCCTTCCACCTCAGCTTTCCAAGTAGCTGGAACTACAGGCGTGCGCAACCATGCCCAGCTAATTTTTTGATTTATTGTAGAGATGAGGTCTCGCCAAGTTGCCTGGGCGGGTCTCGAACCCGCAGGCTCAGGCAATCCACTCACCTCAGCCTCCCAAAGTGCTGGGATTACAGGCTGAGCCACCGAGCCTGGCTACTTTAGCCCTATTTTAACACACAGCCGGAAGATGACACAGGGAAAAGAGTCCCTTCCCTTCCTACAGTGAAGATTTTCCTACACCCTGTCTCAACGGGTTGGAAAGCAAAGATTCTCCTCCCACTGGACTTTCTGAGCCATTTGAACTCTGAACTGACCTGCAAAAAACACCAACTAGCCCCAAACAGGACAGTCTGGTGGCCCAAGGCCCAGGTCACGAACTGCCAGGAGCCCCCAGAAGGAGAATCAGGAGAGGAATCTATTCCCAGCCCCATGATGGGGAGGTGGGGGAGGGGAGTACAGGGCACCGGGGCTGCTGCCAACTGCCCAGGGCGCTGCCTGCTGGTGGTTAGGTTCAGAGAGGAGGAGGATGGGGGAAGACGTTTTAAAAATACATACAGAAAAAGTCGTTTTTGGACTTTAAATCCTTCTTCAGCCTTCATGCGGGGCCTCATTCGTATAACAGAAAAGCCAACAAAGAAAAAGCAAAGAAAAAGAAACGAGAAAGAAATGGCCAGAAACAAACCCGCCCCTAAGAAAGGTCATGCCAGAGGCAAGACCGCTCTCCCCCTGCGCTGGGGATCTCAGGTGGGAAGCAACCTTGCCACCTTGGAAATGGTCGGATCAGGATACTGCTGGGCACTCCCCAGGGGTGGGACCCAGCTGGCTGCCCTGCTCCTGCAAGACCCTCCTCCCTCCTGGCGCCATGTCCAGCATTTCTCAGAGCCAGGCCCCTGGACCACCTACCTCAGAGACACTGAGAATGCAGATCTGCAGGCCCCTCCCAAATGAGTATGAAACACACTCAAGCAACTGGTGCTCAGTGATTAAGAGCACATGTCCCAGACCCAGACGGCCTGGGTTCAGATCCCAGCTCTGCCACTTACTGCTGTGTGGCCTTGGGCAAGTCTCTTAATGTCTCTGCGCCTCATCTAAAATGCCAACTCTCCCCGACTTTCCTTAGTACATCTTTCTCTTTAGTGCTTATCACCATCTGACAAGCTATGTAGATATGTATATGTTTCTGAGCTGGGGTCTCACTGTGTTGCCCAGGCTGAAGTGCAGTGGCACAATCATGGCTCACTATAGCCTTGAGCTCCTGGGCTCAGGCAATCCTTCTGACTCAGCCTCCCGAGTAGCTGGGACTACAGGTATGCATCACCACGCCCAGCTAGTTTTTTAATTTTTATTGTAGGGACAAGGTCTCACTATGTTGCCCAGGCTGGTGTTAAACTCCTAGGCTCAATCAGTCCTCCTGTCTCAGCCTTCCAAAGTGCTAGGATGACAGGTGTGAGTCACCGTGCCTGGCCTTGACAAGTTATATATATTTTTAAAATGTATCTTATTTCTTAACTCTCTCCCTGACTTGCATCCCTCCTCCATGAAGGCAGGGACTTTTGCCTGTTTTCTTCACTGTGGTGTCCCTGGCTCCTCTTAGACCAGCGCATTGGTCACAGTAGGTGCTCAATAAATGCTTACTGAAATGATGCCATCTATAAAATGGGGCTCAGAGAACTTGACTCTTTTTTTTTTGAGTTGGAGTCTCACTCTGTCACCTAGGCTGGAGTGCAGTGGCCGCTCCCGGCCACCGCAGCAGCCTTGACCTGCTGGGCTCCAGCGATCCTTCCGCCTCAGCCTTCCAAGTAGCTGGAACTACAGGCGTGCGCTACCACACCCGGTTCATTTTTTTGATTTATTGTAGAGATGAGGTCTCACCAAGTTGCCCAGGCGGGTCATGAACCCGCAGGCTCAGGCAATCCACTCACCGCAGCCTCCCAAAGTGCTGGGATTACAGGCTGAGCCACCGAGCCTGGCCGAGAACTTGACTCTTGAGTTTCCACGAGGATAGAGATTAAAAATGCACCCGGGGCTTAGCAGGGTGCCTGTCACATATTAAATGTCCAAGAAATACTTGTGGAATACGTGGAGGAGAGAATGTGGGTATGGGGGGGTGTGCACCTCCCAGGATGGAGATGATCTGGGCTCCCTCCCCACTCCCCTGTCGCCCCCAGCCCTTGAGGATGGCGCTCTTGGAACCTGGAGGAGCTCATGGCTGCATCAGCTCCTGGCTCAGTCATGCCAGCCAGCACCAGAGTGGCCAGGCCCATGGCTGTCTGCTTGGATGGGCGGAGCCTTCCGTTCCCCCACTCCCCCATCGGAGCTGGGGCCAGGAAAGACTTTCTCCCTCCTGCCGAGCCAGCAGATGGAGGGTTGGCACCATCCACTCAGTTTGGTTCAGTTTCACGAGCATGTCCTGAATGCCTTCAGGGCCTGCGAGGCTGCTGGGGAACCCAGGGCCGGCAGGAAGACCCCGTGCTCGTTAGGGTTCTCTTAACTCGACAGGCTCCCTGGGGAGAGGTGGAGGGCGGACTGTGGCAAACTCCTGCCACGCTGGGTTTGGCCAACAGGAGGCTATGGGTGGGAGGCCAGGGAGAGAGGGAGGTGGCGGCATTTATTGCTTCATCTGTGCTTTGCCAGGCCCCGGTCCTCTGAGGTCACGGGGCCTGTGACAGCCCTGTTGACTCGGCTGTAGCTCTGGCTGGGTTCCCGTGACACCACTCCCTGCTCCATCCTTTTGGACCTAGGTGGCAGCAGTGCCCGCCAGGCCGGGGGCGACACCACTCCTCAGAAACCCTGCCCATTCCCCATCAACCTCCCTTTGGGGGATTTGCCATCTGGTTCCTGCCGTGACCTCGCTGCCTTCCCGTGTCCTGCCCCTGTGGCTGTAAAACCAGCGTGATTGGGGATGGTCTGTTTCTGGTGGGGGGGGGAGGTAGGGGGCTAGAGGTGCCTTCACCCTGCGTGGTTTACCCAGGGCAAAAGCACTGATCGTCTCCCCACCCCCACCCCCATCCTGATCTGCCATGGCAGGTGGTAGCTTTGCCAGAGGAATACTCTCCCACCGCCTCCACCTTGGTGAGTTCCTGGGCGTTGGCCAGGTTGTCCACAGCGATGGCCAAGAACACATTCAGGAGGGTGTCTGCAAGCGTCTGAGTCAGGGAACGTGGCCATTGAGGGGACAGCGCTTGGACCCTGGGTGCCTGAGTACCCCGATCCCCTTCCTCATTCCCTCCGCCACCCCCTCTCCACCAGAGGCCCAGGCCCGTCTCCACCCCTTCCCCATGCCCCCACGAAGGATACAGTTGCCGAACAGCGTCAGGACGATGAAGTAGATGGAGAACACCATGCCTCCCTGCACGCCCCCCTGGGACTTGATGCCATCGTACATGACCTCATTCCAGTCTTCGCCCGTCAGGATCTGAAAGGGGAGGAAGAGACACACAGCCAACCCCCCTCTCAGCTGCGGGCCCCTCGGAGAGGTAGCTGTGGAGCTGGAATCGTCCACCCCGTCCCCACGCCCAGGGAGTCTTCAACAACCCTGACCGGTGTCCAAGGTCAGACTCTGGGTCGGCTCCTCCTTGGCTTTGGTCTTTGTGAGAGGAAGGGGCTGTCCTGGCAGTGAGGGCTCTTAGCCTGACTTCTAGGAAAATGAGACCCTGTGGAGGGGTCATAAATCTTCCTGTAACTCTGTCTTGTTATGGACTGGACTGTGTCCCACAAATTCAGGAAGCCCTGACCTCCAATGGGATGATATTTGGAGGTGGTGCCTTTGGGAGGTGATTAGGGTTAGGTGAGGTCCTGGGGAGACACTCTCACAATGAGATTAGTGCTCTCATGAGAAGAGGAAGAGAAGCCAGGCGTGGTGGCTCAGGCCTGTCATCCCAGCACTTTGGGAGGCTGAGGAGAGGTTTGCCTGAGTCCAGGGGTTCGAGACCAGCTTGGCAAGACCTTGTGTCTACAATTAATCAAAAAATTAGCTGGGCGTGGTAGTGCATGCCTTTAGTTCCAGCTACTTGGAAGGCTGAAGTGGAAGGATCGCCTGAGCCTAGCAGGATGAGGCTGCGGTGGCCGTGAGTGTTCCACTGCCCTCCAGCCTGAGTGACAGAGTGAGACTCCTACTCAAAAAAAAAAAAAAAAAAAAGGAAGATGAAGAGAAGTCAGAGCTCTCTCTCTTCACCATTGACTGAGGACTCAGTGAGAAGGCAGTCATCTGCATGCCAGGAGGAGAGCCCTCGCTAGGAACTCACCCTGCTGACACCTTAAGTTTGGACTCCCAGCCTCCAGAACTGTGACAGATACATGTCTGCTGTGAAGCCCCTCAGACAAGGTTATTTTGTTATGGTAGCCTGCACAGACCAAGAAGGCTTTTCATATGAACTACATTCCACATATGGTCACAGAGATGATTAAACCAGCTACTGTGTGGAAAGCACACATGCAGCACAGGGCCGGCTACATATGGGGTCGGCCTTGGCAGACCCTGAAGCAAGGTTTCAAGGGCAAGTGGTTTATCTAGGAGGCGAGCTCAGGAAGCACCAGCAGGGGAGAGGGGACGCAAGACAGGGAAGGGGAGGTGAGAAATAAAGGAAAGCTTCCACCATAGGCAACCAGGACTCAGTCCCGCCAGGAAGTGATGGGAGTCACCCCACCTGAGGGTGAGGAAGCTGAGGTGTTTATCAATCAAGGGCTGCTCCTCTGGGGGTGGAGTGTGTGCCAAATATCCATTGGTGCTATTGGACTGCTGTGTCCTGGGGCAGGGACCAGAGAAAGCCTCAGGCAGAGGAATGAGGTGTCAGCAGAGTTTTTTGCTCAGGCTGGAGTGCAGAGGAATGATCACAGCCCACCACATCCTTGACATTGTGGGCTCATGCAATCCTCTCACTTCAGCCTCCAGGGTAGCTGGGACTACAGGCATGCACCACCATGCCCGGCTAATTTTTAAATTTTTTTGTAGAGACAGTATCTTGCTACACTGTCCAGACTAGTCTCAAACTCTCGGGCTCAAGCAATTCTCCCACCTCGGCCTCCCAAAGTGCTAGGATTACAGGTGTGAGCCACCATGCCCAGCCTCCCTCTTTCTATCCAAATTTCCATGAGATAAAGTAAATGTAAAAGAACTCCAAAAGTGTCAGTCTGCTAAGGCAAGGTCTCCCAGCCTTGGTCCTGTTGATATTTAGGGCCAGATCGTTCTCTGTGGTGGGGATTGTCCTGTGCACTAGGATTCTGGGCAGCGTCCCTGGCCTCTACCCGCCAGATGCCAGTAACACACGCCCCTACCCAGTTGTGACGACCCACCATGCTTGCAGACACTGCCACTGTTCTAGGGGACAGATCACCCTTGGGTGAGAACAACCTCTGAGCTACAGACATATGGGTACGCTGGGCACAGTGGCTCATGCCTGTAGTCCCAGCACTTTGGGAGGCCGAGGTGGAAGGATCATTTGAGGCCAGGAGGTTGAGGCCAGGCTTTGAGACCAGCCTGGGTAACAGTGAGACCCTGTCTCTAACAAAAAATCCCCAAATTAGCTGGGTTTGGTGGCGTGCCTGTAGTCCCCGCTACTTAGGAAGCTGAGGCAGGAGGATCACCTGAGCCCAGGAGGCACAATTGTGCCACGGCACTCCAGCCTGGGCAAGAATGAGACCTCAACTAAAAAAAAAAAAACAAAAAACATATGGGTAGTTATCAGTGCTACTAATAATCACACATGCAGGGGCTTGGAACTTTCCCTCATGGATGGCTCCCTCTCCAGCCCTTGCCTGGGGGGGGGGTCTCATTTAGAAACTGCCTCCCCAGGAAAAGGGGAGTGAAGTCACATTCTCTGTGCACACTCTGTCCCCCAAAAGAAAAAGAGTCCACAGGTGAAGCTCTGGAGGTCCTGGCTGGACCTTTCCCAACCTCAGGAAATCATGTGCCCACCTGGATGCAGAAGGTAAGATGGGTTTATGGCTTGAGGTCAACCTCCTTGCCTTAAAATATGAGACTGGGATGTCTTCAGATTTGGTGAGTATATTCATCATGCCTTTTTTTTTTTAAGGGTCTGGGTCTTGTTCTGTCATCCAGGTTGAAGTGCAGTGACTTGATCATAGTCCACTGCAGCCTCCACCTCTTGGGCTCAAGTGATTCTCCTCCCTTGGCCTTCCGAGTAGCTGAGGCTATAGATGTGTGCCACCATACCTGGCTAATTTTTTTTTTTTTTTTTTAGTTTTTGTAGAGATGGTGTCTCACTATGTTGTCAGAATGGTCTCAAGTTCTTGGCCTCAAATGACTCTCCTAACTTGGCCTCCCAAAGTGCTGGGATGACAGGTGTGAGCCAACGCACCTAGCCAATGCCTCTTATTTTCTGTATTCTGATGCATCTGGGGCCTTGCTGACCCTGGAGGGACTTCTAGGATTAGCCAATTCCTAGAAATAGTAGCCATGAGCTTTCTTTTCTTTTCTTTTCTTTTTCTTTTGAGTTGAGTCTCACTCTGTCACCCAGACTGGAGTGCAGTGGCCAGGAAGGTATCAGCGATCCTTCCACCTCAGCCTTCTGAGTAGCCGGAATTACGGGCATGCGCTACCATGCCCGGCTGATTTTTAAAATTTTTACTGTAGAGATGAGGTCTCGCCAAGTTGCCCAGGCGGGTCTCGAACCCGCGGGGCTCAGGCAATCCACTCACCTCAGCCTCCCAAAGCGCGGGATTATAGGCTGCGCCACTGAGCCTGGCTGAGCTTGCTTTTCAGATGCAAACCAACCAAACCAGACTCCACGTGCCAACTACTTCCCTTCTTGGGCTCTCACAGTCTGGGCCTGCCATCAACACCCCAGGGCCAGGTACCAGCTAGAGTACGAGGGGCACCCTAGAGCCTGTGGAAGTGATCCAAGTTAGCCAATCCTAAACCTGCTTACGCTGCCTCGCCCTTTCCTTCCATGGAAGCCACCATTAAGGCTCTTACCCGCATCTTCCCACCTTCTGCCTCCTGACCAGCTCAGCGTATCCTTGAGTGGTCCTGCATGGAGTAGCGTGCCCCCCAGTTGGGATCTCTGAGTAGCAAACTCTCTCTTCCATGACACTCATCTCCTGATCGGTTGGCCTCACCATATCTGAATAATAATACAATCTGTGTTTTGTTTTTTTTTTTGAGTTGGAGTCTTATGCTACCATTCCTGGTTAATTTTTTAAAATTTATTATTTAGTGTACAGTCGAAGCCTTGTCAAGTTCCCTGGGCTAGTCTTGAACCCACAGGCTCAGGCAATCCACTCACCTCAGCCTCCCAAAGGCGCGGGATTACAGGCTAAGCCACTGAGGCCAGCTACAATCTGTGTTTTAAGGCAGTGTGAAAAGGCCCGGTGGAATTCAGGGGAGCCCCTCAGATGTGGAACAGACGCTTGCATCTTTGACACTGAGAGGTCAGCCCATGGGGCCGGGTGGAGGCCGTACCTGAAACACCGTCATTATTGCTGCTGGAAAAGTATCGAAGTTGGTAGGAGGAGTCCCTTCATCGAAATTAAACCTGCAGGGAGGACATGGACATTTTACGTTGGCCCCACCCCAGGTGCTTTGAGGACTCAGCTCAGCATCTCATCTCCATGGAAATGCCTCTATCATCTCTGATCCCAGGACACTCTGGGTGGTACCCAAGGTCCCGCCCCAGGTGCGCTGAGGGCTCAGCTCAGCATCTCTTCTCCATGGAAATGCCTCTATCATCTCTGATCCCAGGACACTCTGGGTGGTACCCAAGGTCCCGCCCCAGGTGCGCTGAGGGCTCGGCTCAGCATCTCTTCTCCATGGAAATGCCTCTATCATCTCTGATCCCAGGACACTCTGGGTGGTACCCAAGGTCCCGCCCCAGGTGCGCTGAGGGCTCGGCTCAGCATCTCCTCTCCATGGAAATGCCTCTATCATCTCTGATCCCAGGACACTCTGGGTGGTACCCAAGGTCCCGCCCCAGGTGCGCTGAGGGCTCAGCTCAGCATCTCCTCTCCATGGAAATGCCTCTATCATCTCTGATCCCAGGACACTCTGGGTGGTACCCAAGGTCCCGCCCCAGGTGCGCTGAGGGCTCAGCTCAGCATCTCCTCTCCATGGAAATGCCTCTATCATCTCTGATCCCAGGACACTCTGGGTGGTACCCAAGGTCCCGCCCCAGGTGCGCTGAGGGCTCAGCTCAGCATCTCCTCTCCATGGAAATGCCTCTATCATCTCTGATCCCAGGACACTCTGGGTGGTACCCAAGGTCCCGCCCCAGGTGCGCTGAGGGCTCAGCTCAGCATCTCTTCTCCATGGAAATGCCTCTATCATCTCTGATCCCAGGACACTCTGGGTGGTACCCAAGGTCCCGCCCCAGGTGCGCTGAGGGCTCAGCTCAGCATCTCCTCTCCATGGAAATGCCTCTATCATCTCTGATCCCAGGACACTCTGGGTGGTACCCAAGGTCCCGCCCCAGGTGCGCTGAGGGCTCAGCTCAGCATCTCCTCTCCATGGAAATGCCTCTATCATCTCTGATCCCAGGACACTCTGGGTGGTACCCAAGGTCCCGCCCCAGGTGCGCTGAGGGCTCAGCTCAGCATCTCTTCTCCATGGAAATGCCTCTATCATCTCTGATCCCAGGACACCCTGAGTGGGACCCAGGGCCCTGGCTATCTGGGTGATGGTAATGGACATCCAGGCCTCAAGGAAGGCAGCCTGCAGGGTGGAGGGTGGGGTGGGCCTTTGGATGCCCTGAGTGGGGGTGGGTGGATGGGGGAGGGCAAACCCAACCCCAGGAAAGTAGAAGTCAGACGTTCTGCCGAGGACTTACTGGCCGCCAAAAAGCTGCATTCCCAAAAGGGCGAAGACCACGATGAACAGGAAGAGGAGGAACAACAGGCTGATGATGGATTTCATGGAGTTGAGGAGAGAGACGACCAGGTTTCGGAGAGAGGCCCAGTACCTGCCGGCAGAGGCCGGGCGAGGGGTCAGGCCAGGCCAGGGAGGCAGGAGCTGGGAGTCAGCCACAAGGCACGAAGCGGCCTTCCCAGCTTCTTGGAGGTGGCTTCTCCACCGCCCCACACCCCCAGCCCTGTCAGAAGGTCCAGGAACCCCAAAGACTTACTTTGTGACTTTGAAAATACGCAATAACCTGAGAGCTCGTAACACGCTGATTCCGAAGGATGTGCCGGGTTTTATGACGGCCCAGATGACCTCAAAGATGCTTCCAATGATAACCTAGAGCAGAGGGCCTGGCGTTACGTCCAGGGATGGTGTCTGGTCTTCAGTGCTTGCAACATCTTCCAGGCTTGAACCTGGCAGGAACCCAACCCAACCCCCACCTCCAAATGGAAGCAGGGTGAAGATCCCTGGCTCTTCATTGATTCATTTGTTCATTCATTAGAGACAGGGTCTCACTCTGTTGCCCAGGCTGGAGAGCAGTGGCACGACCATGGCTCACTGCAGCCTCTATCTCCTGGGCTCAAGTGATCCTTCTGCCTCAGCCTCCTAATTAGCTGGGACTACAGGCACATGCCATCTCGCCCAGCTAATTTTTAAAATTTTTGTGTAGAGATGGGGTCTTGCTATGTTGCCCAGGATGAAGTACAGTGGGCAATCATAGCTCACTGTAGCCTCAAACAATCCTCCTGCCTCGGCTTTCCTAGTAACTGGGACTACAGGCACACACCACCATGCCCAGCTAATTAGAATAATTTGTTTTGTAGAGATGGGGTCTCGCTATGCTGCCCTGGCTGGCGACTGGTCTCGAACTCCTGGGCTCAAGCAAACCTCCCACCTCAGCTTCCTGAGTAGCTGGGATTATAGGCTAACCCATTGATCATGCCTGGCCTTTTTTTTCTCTCTGTTTTGTATTGGGATTTCACTCTGCCACCCAGGATGGGGTGCAGTGGCATGATCACAGCTACTGCAGCCTCAACCTGCTGGACTCAGGCAATCCTTCTGTCTCAGCTTCCTGAGTAGCTAGGACTGCAGACGTGTGCCACTATGCCTGGCTAATTTTTTAAAAATTTATTGTAGCCGGGCTCGGTGGCTCAGCCTGTAATCCCGCGCCTTTGGGAGGCTGAGGTGAGTGGATTGCCTGAGCCCA